AAAAAAGAAAGAAAAAAAAAGAAAGAAAAAAAAAGAAAAAAAAAAATAAAAAAAGAAAAGAAAAGAAAAAGAAGAAAAAAAAAAGAAAAAAAAGAAAGAAAAATTGAGCGTCGAATAACGCTACGCTAACAATAGTTGAAGATACGACGGACTCACTCACTCCCTCCCTCCCTCCCTCCTCTCTACGCCTATGGCAGCTACGGGCGCCTGCGGGGGGGATGGAGGGATGGATGGATATCAATATCAATGTCAATATGAAAATGAACATGAATGTAGATATAAATATAAATATGAATAGATAGATAGATGAATAAATATCAATATGGATAGATATCAATATGGATAGATGTCAATATGGATACCGGTAGATATGAATGGATAGGTAGGTATATAGTGGAATCAGAAAGAGAAGAGAGAAAGTATACCCGGCCCGCTCAAGTCAAAGTCGACTCCAGACCAAACCCAACCCTGAGATAGGTAGCTACCGTACCGTACCCTAGTAATCCAGGAGAGAGAAGGAACGCTCGCCGTTTAGCGTACTTAGCAAACAGGGAGGATCAATAGTGACGCCGCTCCGGGTACAACGACACGCCTCCCCCCTATCAAATTGCTTTCCTCGCGACTATACTTTTAGCTATAAATACAACTCATTCCCAATCAATTATCAAGCCCTACAACGTTCCGAGAGAATGCAGCCTTATCCGTAAGTACAGCCCAGCCAAGCGACACGCACTTACAGTACCGAAGCGAGAGAGAATACCATTTCGCTCTCTCTGCTACTCTCAACCAGCAACTTTATCGTAATCTTCTCACATAGAGCAGCTTGTGTTTTAAACCAGGGTTTTACACAAGAGAAACGCATCTGTGCGTATTACACATGTGCTTCCGCAGCGTTACTTTACCGTTTGCGAGTACGGTAGCAAGGCGGCGGTGGTTGCCTTTCGGATACGCGGGCAAAAATACGTACGTAGGATCCTTCGAGCGCCCTTGTGAAAAAGTAAATGCAAACAATAGGTACCTAGCATGACGTCGCCCTTGCGTTCCTTAATTCTGAATCCTTTCGAGCATGTGATAAGCGGACGAGGTGTAGAAGCTGCAATAATAGGGTTAGGGACCGGTATTGTAAGCGTCTTTTGCAGCTTAGTAATGGGCTAATATCCTACGCTTCTTTCCAGGCCGTGCTCGAGGAGCGCGCTGCTCTTTGATATAAGAAAGCATTGAGAGCATGTAATAGATGTGATTTGCACATTGGTAATCCAGGGCCGGAGATTCGTTTCGCAATTATATTTTCAAGGAGTTACCTATATTATCGTTAAGGGATGCAAATAGCGAGGTCAGAGTACCGTAGGTGTTCAAAGCAAATATTACGCGAGAGGACACTTGGGATTGTGATATGCGGTCGCCTCTCGGAGCGGCGTAACTATTGATCCACCCCTGTTTGCCAAGCACGCTAAACGGCTAGCCCCCCTTCTTTTTCTCGAATTACTACCGGTACCGGTACTTATCCCCCTCCCTGGATAGAAGGCGGACCCACTTGGTGAAAGCATATTTGGACCTTAAAGCTGACCGATTATCAGATGTAGCAGAACAACATATATATTTATTTTCTCGTATTTGGTAAGTCTTCCTTGAGCATCAATCGTTGCTTGATATCGATTTTACTACAAATTATATAAAGAAATATTGAATTCTTGAGGAACTGCTTCACAAGCGTTGGGGTTACAGCCCACCCCCTGGTCAACCCTTAGTAAAAATATACTTTTCGTCTTTTATTCAGGGGATAGTACGGTACCAGTAGTAGTACCGGTACCGTTTCTCTCGTCTCCAGGAAAGCCCGGCGGGCCGGCGGAGCGTTCCTTTGACTGGTCCGATCGAAGGGATGGACTTCCGACTTATCGAGCCCTTTGTCGAGCTAGGTTGAGCACAGTTTGTCCCAGCTGTCACTCTGCAAAGGGAAAAGTTCTGTCGGGAGGTTGTTAGACTGCGTATTCGAAACAGGCGAGTTTCACGTTTGAGGTCTGAATTAGGATTTGTCTGTTGACTTTCACGGTTTCATGTTGACTGTTCTGTACATCACTTTTCACCTATCCGAAGCCTTTCCTGTGCATCACAAACTTCCCGGATGGCTATCCCAGTCGCGCTCTTCCTCTCCAACGATTCATTACAAAGTTCGGATTGTCATCTTCGGATTCATGTACATTAATTAATCAATCATACCTTCGCATCGCCTACAGGAAACACGCCAAGAACGTCGCCATCCCAACAACGCCCACCCACGCCAGGGACGCAACGCCCGAATACGAGTACCCGTTCATCGCGCCCGGACTAGCGGCCGAGCTCGACGACGCAGCGCCGTTGGCTGGTGTGGTGGAGTCACTGTCACCTGTCCCGGCCGTCGAGGGCGGGAGGGAAGAGAGTGAAGTGTCGGCATTGTAGGTGGCTGTCACGCCTGTCCCGTTCTTGCAAGAGGAGGGGACGGCTGGCGCACTGCCGGCGACGAACGATACTGCAGCGCACTATAGCAATGTTTTAGCCCTACCCCATCTGACGCGTGTGAGTATTGAATGCGTCTTCGACATACCTGGTAGAGCACCCCATCCGGGGAATTAGCTGCAACACCAATCGTGCCGTTGTTGCCGGCGAAACTTTCTGGGACCATGATGTCGCTCCTACAGAACTCGCCCATGTTTTTCTGCTCGATGCTCGCCGAGAGAATGGTCCAGTTTCCGGCGGCGATGGGCGCGCCGATTGTGGCACGGAAGAGCCAGGTCGTGGTTGGGTGGGTAGAGCGCAGGGCGATGCTGTCGCCGGAGACGTGGAATTTGGTTACCTCGGCGCTAGAGAAGTCGACCGGGAAGCCGCCGCATGGGATGACGGATTCCACTAGAGGGGGTTAATTTTGTTAGTCTGGGTGCGGAGGATGAGGGGGTTGCGAGGAAGGGTCACGGAGATGAGAAGAGAGAGAGAGAGACAGAGAGAGAGAGTTTACCTTCTTCATCGAAGCCGACCGACGTGGGGTAGTTGAGCAGGAAATGGGCTGAGGTCTGGCTGAGGAGGAGGGCGGCTGCGAGGCCAGAAGCGAGGCTGGAGAAGGCAGGCATCTTTTGTTAAGTCCGTGTGTGGGGTGTATTGGGGGA